AAATTTTGTCTCTGTAGGTACTTTGTCCCTTTTCTGACTGAGTCATTTAATACATTTAGAAAATGTTTATAAAGTACTCACTCCATGGTTGGCAAGTAAAATTTTGCTGAAGATAATTAAAAAACAGTTGCAGCAGTATACTGACAGGGAGTATCCAGAAATGCAAGGTGGATTGAGAAGAGGATGTGGAATGAGGGACATCCTTGTTGATGTCAGATGGATTTTGGTGGAAAGCAACAAATAACACAAAGATACTTACTTGTGTTTTATTGATAATTCATAAACGTTTGACTTTGTGGATCATAACCAATTATGGATAACATTAAGAAGAATGAGAATTCTAGAACACTTGATCATGCTCATAAGGAACCTGTACATAGATCAAGAGGCTGTTGTTCAAACAGAACAAGGTGATACTGTGTGGTTTAGAATCAGGAGTGGTGTGTGTCAAGGTTGTATCCTTTCACCATACTTACTCTGTGTGCTGAGCAAATAATCTGAAAAACTGGTCTCTATTAAGAAGAGCGTGGCATCAGGATTGGAGGAAGACTCATTAACAACCTGCGATATGCAGACGACACATCCTAACTTGCTGAAAGTGAAGATGACTTTAAGTACTTACTGATGAAGATAAAGACTACAGTCTGCAGTATGGACAATAACACTTCAACACAAAGAAAACGAAAATCCTCACAACTAGACCAATAAACATCATCACAATAAATGGAGAAAAGATTGAAGTTCTCAAAGAATTCATGTTATTTGAATCCACAATCAACACCCATTGGAAGCAGCAGTCAAGAAATCAAATATCGTATTGCAGCAAATCTGCTGCAAAAGACTTCTTCCTGGTGCTGAAGAGCAAAGATGTTGCTTTAAAGACTAAGGTGTGCTTGACCCAAGTCATGGTACTTTCAGTCACCTCATATGCATGTGAAAACTGGACAATGAATAAGGAAGTCTGAAGAAGAGTTGATGCTTTTGAGTTGTGGTGCTGGCAAAGAATACTGAAAGTACCATGGACGCCAGAGTAATGAACCAGTCTGTCCTGGAGGAAGTGCAGCCAGAATGCTCCTTGGAAGGGGAAATGGCCAGACTTCATCTCACCCACTTTGATCATGTCGTATGGAGGGACCAGAGGATATGCTTAGTGAAGTGGAAGGTCAGTGAAAAGAGGGAAGACCCTCATTGAGATGGATTGACACAGTGGCTGCAACGATGGGCTCAAGTATAGCAAGGATTGTGAGGGTGGTGGACAACCAGGCAGTGTTTAGTTCTGTTGTACGTGAGGCCGCTATGAGTCAGAGCCATCTCAGTGGCACCTGACAACAACAACAGCTGTGGTTGGCACTATGCTCTGTGCCTACAAACATGGAGTGGACCTGTAAGCAAGTAACTGTAAGAGAACATGAGTGTTGTAATAGCTGTATTTATAAAATACTGTAGGAACCAGAAAGAGAAAATTAGTTCTGTCAGTAGGGGAAGGTGAATCAGATGTTATTTGATGTTATATTAGCAGGATGGGATTTCAAAGTGGACAAACAGAAGGGTATTCTGTGTTTGTTCATAAATAGGATAACCATGTAATTTATCATCAAAAGCGGTGACTTTTGAGAATCAAAGGGGATGTTTTATTCCAGTTACTTGCTAACTAGGAGATAGTACTGCCCTATTTGTAAAGGACAAGAGATGTTGTGAACCCGCAGATTTTTGGCAAATTGTGAAAAACTCATTTCTTTTCATTATTTTTAGAGTTTGCAGTCATTCTCATTGCCTCGGATAATTTTAACAGCTTTTGAGAATTTTTGCAGTTTGACTATTTTCCTAATAGCATTTAAGGAAATTCATTTTGTTGAAACGTAAGATTCATATTCATTTTTTTTTTCATATTCATTTTAAGAATATACTTAATATTCAGAAAAATATGTTTTTTGTCAGTAATGAAAATTTCAATATATTGTGAACATTTAAAATTATTCTTTTAGTTTTTACTCATTTTGTTTAATTGTATCATTTGTTTTGGCATTTTTTTTTAAGCATTTTCAGGTTTTAATTTCTCAAGTAGTATATCAACCTTAGTTTTTTATGCCTAACAATAACTAGAGGTTAATAAGGGCTGTGGTTAGTATGGATTGTAATTTTGTAGTAGTTTTGCAGTAGTCCTTTTTCAGTATGCTGCCAGTCTGGCTTAGTTGCACGTTATTTACATAGGGTTTATGAAGGTTCATTTCTGTTGTCTTATACCTCCCATGTACCTCTCTATGTCTTCCTCTTCCTCAGTGCCACCATGTTGATCACTCACATTTGGTACATTGCCCTTCTCTTCACCCAAATCAATACTTATCTCTACCTATCTAACAGTGTTCCCTTCCCTCCCCTCCCAACCCTGGTAACCAACAAAGAAAATTTCCTTCCATATAGAAACCTTTCCTTGACTTTTACAATAACGAACCAATACGATATTTGTCCTTCTGTGATTGACTTAATTCACTCAGTGTAATGTCCTCCAAGTTCATCCGTATTATGCGGTGTTTTGCAGATTCTAGGTTATTCTTTAGGGTTGCATAGTATTCCATTGTGTGTGTATACCATAGTTTGGTTATCCATTCTTCAGTTGTTGGACACCTAGGTTGTTACCATCTTTTGGCTATTGTAAATAGTGCTGCGATGAACATGGGTGTGCAAATGTCTGTTTTTGTCATGGCTCTCCCTTCTTTAGGATATATACCTAGTAATGGAATGGCTGGGTCGAATGGTATTTCTAATTCCAACTGAAGGAATCGTCGTACTGCTTTCCACAGTGCTTGTACCATTTTACAGGCTCACCAGCAGTGTATGAGAGTACCAATCTCTCCATATCCACTAGCATTTGTTATTTTGTGTCTTGCTGACCTTTGCTGCTAGTGCTGGAGCAAGATGGTATCTCACTGTTGTTTTGATTTGCATCTCTCTAATGGCTAATGATCATGAGCATTCTTCATATGTTTGTTGGCCGCCTGAATATCCTCTTTGGTGAAGTGTCTATTCATGTCTTCTGCCATTTTTAAATTGGATTATTTGTCTTTTTGTTATTGAGGTGTTGGAGTTTTCTATAAATTCTAGAGATAAGTCCCTTGTCAGATAGGTCACTGCCAAATATTTTTTCCCAATCTATAGGTTCTCTTTTGACTCTTTTGGAGAAGTCTTTGGAAGCACATAAAAATTTCATTTTTAGAAGGTCCCATTCATCTAGTTTCTCTTCTGCTGTTTGTGCATTTTGGGTTATGCGTGATAGTCTATTTATGCCATATACCAGAGCCCCTCAATTTGCCCCTAGTTTTTCCTTGAGAAACTCTATAGTTTTAGGTTTCAC